CAGCAGCAGCAGCAGCAGCAACAGCAGCAGCAGCAGCAGCTGCAGCAACAGGAGCAGCAGCAGCAGGTATTCACGGCTTCGGACTTGGAGATTATCCGTCTGTCGATGTACGCCAGAGCTGCCCCCTAACCCTTCGGCATTAGGGTTTAGGGTTTAGGGTTTGGGGGTTTAGGGTTTAGGGTTTAGGGTTTGAGGGTTTAGGGTTTAGGGTTTAGGGTTTGTTTTCGGTGCGTCTTGTGATGGGCTTCGCAGCGACAAGTGTTTAGCCAACACGCTGGACTGGAGACAGCAGCAGCAGCAGCAGCAGCAGCAGCAGCAGCAGCAGCAGCAGCAAGGGGATTCGACAGCAGGGCATGCAGAGCAGCAGGAAGCACAGAAGAAGCAGCAGCAGCAGCCGGCTGCGTTGCTGCTGCAGCAGCTGCTGCAGCAGACGGATGCTCGTGGTTGTTGTTTGGCTTTGTCTGCTCTATCGCGGCTGCAGCAGCGGGAAGGGTTTGCTGCTGCTGCTGCTGCAGCAGCAGCAGCAGCAGCAACTCAGGTGCCTGTACACCTCAAGAAACTAACCGCGCAGCAAACCGCCACGCTGCTGCACAGCATCTCCAAGTTTCCTCAGCTGTCTCCTTCTCTGTCTGGGGATTTGTTGATTCATGTAAAATGAGGGTTTAGGGTTTAGGGTTTAGGGTTTAGGGTTTAGGGTTTGGAGGGTTAGGGTCTGTGCACGGCCTACAATTTGACCTCCTGGGCCCGTAGCTCGTAGCTCTCAGGGTTTAGGGTTTAGGGTTTAGGGTTTAGGGTTCGGGTGTGCAGCTACCAGGGTTTAGGGTTTAGGGTTTAGGGTTTAGGGTTTAGGGTTTGTGTGTGCAGCTGCGGCCTCGCATCAAGCACCTAGACCCTGCCGGCTGTGTGAGCGCCCTCAGTGCTTTCCGTCGTCTCCGCTTGGATGGTAAACCCTAAACCCTAAACCCTAAACCCTCGTCAGTGTAAACCCTAAACCGCTGCCGGTGTAAACCCTAAACCCTCATCACCTTCAGGCGACAAACAAGAAGCGAAGCCACGGAATTGCTTAAACCCTAAACCCTAAAACCATAAAACCCTAAACCCTAAACCCTTCTCTTCTTCCTACAGTCCCCAGGCTGAGACCCGTGGCCAAGGGTTTAGGGTTTAGGGTTTAGGGTTTAGGGTTTGCTCGCAGGAGAGGACCCGTCATCGGTGGAGCTGCAGCAGCAGGCGGCCTCACAAATCCATCACTGCGACTGGCAGGGGCTGCATGCAGTAAACCCTAAACCCTAAACCCTAAACCCTANTAAACCCTAAACCCTAAACCCTAAACCCTAGTAAACCCTAGCTTGAGCTGACGACAGCCCCTAAACCCTTTCTCCACTGCAGCACTAAACTTTGGGGCTTTGTGCATGCAGCTGGCCTCCATAGCGAGGAGCGGCAACTTCTTGCTGCTGCTGCATGCGCTGCAGCAGCAGCTGCAGCACGAGCAGCAGCAGCCTCCATCTGCTGCTCTTCAGAAGTTTCGTACGTCGCCTCAAACCCTAGCTAGCCACTAGGGTTTAGGGTTTAGGGTTTAGGGTTTAGGGTTTAGCAGGGTTTGGGGGCTGAGCCAACAGAGGGGACAGTTTGCTGTCTCCTCCTGTGTGCTTGCAGAGCAGCTACTGGGGAGCAGCAGCAGCAGCAGCAACAGCAGCAGCAGCAGCAGCAACAGCAGCAGCAGCAGCAGCAGCAGCAA